AGTGCTCCCACGGCCGATCTGCATTGGCAGCAATGTACGTGAAGTCGTGCCTTGGTGATGAAGTACGTTTGAAACTGCTTGTGCCGTCTGTACGAACTAGGAGACACACACATGTAATCCTTCGAACACCTTAAGCAGGGAGGCCCCCTCAGAGCAGGTGCTACCATGCACAACGTTCTTGCAGTAAAAAACGGCTGGCACGTCAACCACATGCGGGATCGGAAGATTTTGGAAATACGCAGATTGCTTTTCTCATCCGGGCATCAAGATGAATTATCCGGTTGTTGCATGGGTCCAGTGCGCAAACACACACACACACACACACAACCCTGTAACCATGTAAAACAAAGTCTGGTCGAGGCGGCGAAACCCAACCTCGATGAGGACGACGACGTACGCTCGTTAATTATTTGCGCATGATCTCCACCCATTTCATGTTGCCTATCCCCCAGCTGCCCACACAGGGGCCCAGGGCGGATACATGCAGGTACGTCAGGTGCGTGTGCCTGGGGTGTAGGGGAAAGCTTCGTTGGACGGAGCTCCCCTGTCCGTCCCCCTGCACTTTAAAACGATGCAGCGAGAACTGCAAGGCTTGTCGCATGTGCAACAGAACACAAACATTAAAGACTTGTCGCCAATCACACAGTCTGGGATGCTCCACAATCGCGTCGCAAACAATGCTTCCAAAACCAGCGATCTCCACACAACTTGAACACAAAAAGCCCGCTTCATGTCCCACCACGAGATGTCCACTGTCCACTTTTGAAAACCGCTCCCCAGTCGGTTCACTAGCAGGGATTTACAGCAGCAATTTTTAATTTGAAAGGGCAATTGGTCCAACATACATTCCTAAGAACAAGTCATTGTAATATGACCCATTTTCTGCATCGAAACACTGTGCAGAAGGTTACGAAGATGCTGCCATCAAGAAGAGGATATCCTCAGGGATGCTCACTGCTTTGGTCTGCTAGCGAGTTTTCCAATGGCAACGTTCATTGCAATGTGTACCTGGCAGTGTACCTGCGGCTTAGACATGATTTTGCTATGGCTGTGTCGAAAAAAATAAGACATACTTAAAGTTAGCTCCGAAAAGGGCGTTGTGGTCTTTCCAGATTTGTGGACAACGCCTAGGTGTCACAACCTCCAACCAGTAGGGGCATTTCCTCCCTCTGCGCCTGCCCTCCGTCAGGATTCTATCTTTATAAGCCGAACCGATAACGATATTGCGCACTGGATCTGTTGCCTTGGCAGCGAAAACAAACACCAAAAATTCTTTCTGCTTAGGATTTAGAATCTTGGAAGTTTGGAGGGCGATGCGGGCTTGCCTGCCTGTTTCCATACTTCCAAACTCGGGATGTTGGAATAATAGGGAGCGTTTATTCCGATGCAACGACGTAAGACTCGATATCTACTTTGTGAAGGAAATTGTCCGTGAGGGTTAAAGTTTCCAGCATGTACATAAGAAATGGAACTGTTGTGGCCAGAAACAGTTTAACTCTTTTGGAACGATTGAGGCTGCTGTTCCAAACAGCTGTTCCAAACAAACCTCAATTTCTTGTACACAGTCTCTGCCAGTGCTGCTCTATGTGCCAGGGCAATTTCTGCAGGCCTGTTCCAGGAAACCAGAGTGCCTAGTTACTTTACGGATTCTGCTGTAGGGACTGGATCTCCATTCCTGAAGTATACTGTCACATTGTGGTCTGGGCGGGTGAGGAGCTCCGCTTTGGTGGTGTTAAGTGACATACCATCGTATGAGGCTTCGTCTTCCAGTTCCCTGAGAAAGCTTTGGAGCTGCGGTGTTGTCAAGGAAGTATATAGCGTGTCATCCGCGTACTCTAGATCGTATCTATACAGGATTCCCCTCAGACCATGTGTTTGTAGGAATACCGTTGTCCAAGAATCTATAATCAAGGTCCTCGATAATGACGCTGAGCAGCACAATGATAAAAAGATACGGGCTTAAGGGGAAACCCTGCTGAGTGCCTGAGCCCACCTTTCCTATGGCGATGTGGTCTGATTTCCCTTGCACATCCTTGCACTGTAAACGTAGGAGATGCAGAACGGGAGGCAGTGATTTGAATGAGATTTTGCAGAATACCGAGCTTTCGAGCCGTTATCTTGGCGGTATGGTCCAGGGGATCCAAAGTCTGCTTCCAATCTATGAACAAGACGTATAGCGGTCTAGCTGTCATTTTGGCCCATTCCATGGTCTTAGTACAAACATTGGATGTACCTTTCTGCGGTGTGCTCTAATACCATCTTGGGCTTGTCTTCGCAAGTCTGTGTAAGCCGTGGTTGGACCCTTGCTGCAAAAAAGTTTTGTAGGTTACATTCGGAGGCCGCGTCCGTGTCTGTTTGCGGTGAGGTCTGGGATGTCAGGGTTTCATTGCATAGATCCCGAAGCTGGTGTTCCACCGTAGCGTCAATGGGCTGATAAAATTCGTTGAGTATGCAATCTAGACTCGCCCTGTTGAATTTAAACTTACCATGAAGGGTGTGGCGTCCGGACTGGTTGCGTGGAGTTGTGGTCTAAATTCGAGCGCGTCCAATGCACCTGTTTAAAGTGCGGGCTGTGCCGCCCACTGTTTGTTCTGAAGGTGGTCTCGAAATGCTGTATGCGTCTACGACCAAGGTACTGGCTTACCGTCGACAACCACGTGTGATGTTTTGCCCACAAATCATTGTTACAAATATTTTTCTGGTTTTTTATGGCTTTCCAGATGGTGCTGTGTTGCCCGGACGGTTGCTGTTGCAACTCCCGGATCCATGGAGTGCGCTTCAGGAATGGGAGAAGCGTGAGGGTGTTCACTGCGGCGTTATGCAATGCTGTTCACTGACTGGGGCGTCCTCCTTGTGCTGCGGCCAATGCCCTTCCCTGCTTTGCTTACCTTGTCAGCTTCCTCGTTCCTTTCTGTTCCCCGGTGTGCCTTTACCCGTCGAAAGGTGACCTTGAGGGACCCGAATGTAGTTGATGAGCTTATGATGTGGCTTTGGCCCTTTAGCCTCCTCCCAAGAGTCGTCTAAGGGAACACCAACCCCATCCTGGACTGCGCAGGTTTGCAGCGGCCTCTGGCTCCTGATCTGTATAAAACACTCCCACTAGCGCGTAGCATTGTGCTTGGAGTTCCGGGGTGTGGGCTTTGAAGTTGAAAATGTGGCGTGTACTGTGATTCTGTAACCAAGAGGTAATGGTCCGTAGGATACCCGTGACGCTTGGAGCGACAGCTGTTAACAGAACTAAGCCAGTGCGACCTGACGAAGGTGTGGTCCAGTCTCTGATACCTAATTGGGTTTGGGCGTGGGTCGGTTTTTTGGGGTAAGGGTTCGCCAAGGTTTAAGAAGGACCTACTCTGGACATGATATGCTGCCAGAAATGGTAAGCGACAAACGCGGCAAATTGGATTAAGACATGTGAACGGGAAAAAAGCATTTGCTGGGTCGGCAATCGGCGCATGGTGAAGGCTTCCACCTCGTACTCCATTTGGGCAGCACTGAACCGTGTTTCAAACCCCGGCTGCGATCTGAAGCGAGGCACACGCACATACAGTTGCAGACCAAGTAAACGCAGCTGAGCCGAGGAAGAACGACAAAATTAAAAACGCAATCTTGTTCCAACCTCGAAAGAGCACCCTACCAACGAGGCACCGTGGAAGCTCCACATCATCACCCGGTGCCATGCACACCTCAGGAATTGAATTGCGACAACGAATAGTTCCACGAACAGCAGGGAGCCAGAGCCCCGCGGCCTCAAGGTCCTACGGAAGATGGCACGAGCCCTTGGCCCAGCATGGCCCAGCCAAACGTAACGTTACGAGTGGCTGACTGTGGGCGCTTGGCCAACCCAATCCAAACTGTCAGAACAACATTGCCAATGCCAAGGCGCACACGAGAAGCGGAGAGTGTGGACAAGCGATGGCTCGGTAATGAAAATGTGAAGCTCCCTTGCAGCTAGAGCAGAACTAGTACGAGGGTTGCTTGTTGCTGGAAGTATGCCTCCATGTCTGTTTTCTGTATGCATACGTACAGGTATGTAACAGTATGTAAGTTGATATACAAACTGATGATGTGTGATGTGTTGTGTGTGCATCCTTCCTTTCATATGTTACAGCTATAGAGTTATAGCTTCTGTAGCATAATAGCACCATGGGATTTGCGCGAATGCATGCTACCGTCATCACTTGCTTCTCCGTCACAGCTGTTGAGCCGCGGCGGTGGGCAGACACAAGCAAGCATTGCAAAAAATGCTGCTGCAACAGATGTGGCTGAGATTGAGAATGATCTAGCAAACCGACTGGAAGACTTCAAACATTTGGATGTGCCTCGGTTCATACCTGGCAGCATACACCAGGCAATGTCTGGGGCTTACGCCAGCCATGTCGAAGAGCAGTTCCAACTGATTCAAAGCCATTGCCAAATCTGAGCCTTCGTCATAAAGAGTGCGCACACGACGGGGCGAATAGGACTAATTACAGCCCGGGCTTTCTTGCAGCATCAAAGCACACGCACGCTCTGACTTTCTGGAGCTTGCGGGACGCTGTGGTCTACTTTAAAGATCTTTAAAGGAACGACAGCCAAAGATGACCGAAAGGTGAGCCTGTCCAGCAAACGCAAACAGACATACTGGACTTGATGGAGAGCCTTGCTTGCAGTCTGGAAGATGAGCGCTGCAAGCCACGTCCAGTGCAAGCACAATCCAGCCTGGTGTCGCAAAAGCCACCACTGACGCAGCGCACAGCGTTGCGGCGTCGCGTGCTGAAAACTAACTCAGAACCTCTCCGAGCCAAAAGGCGGCGGAGAGGCGAAGGTGCGCGAAGCTTGATGTCGGCAGACGCTGTGCAAATCAACTTACCTCTGTATCTGAGGTGAAGTGGCACCTACACTGTCGATTTCCATCGTGATGCGATGCTCGTGCCCTTACCCAAGTCTCAAACTGCAAACTAAGCTACATGGTGATAATGGTTCTAGTGAAGGCACTGCCACAAGAGGGGGATAGGCAGGACCGTCTCGCATCAGCAGGCTTTTGAGCAGCCTGTGACCTGCCCCCGAATGCCATGGAAAAAGCGATGGAATGCGTATCGGACAAGAAGCTGCCTGGTGCAACGAAGCGTGTCCCGTGCATCATCAAAGAATGCAGCGACCAACGGGAAGCCGCAGTAACTTCATAAGGCTGTCGCTGATGTAGAGCCCCCCAAGAGACAGGACCACCTGGCACTCTGGAAAAACAACACAGTTTTCAATTCTTCCAGAGCTACGGCCACTCAAGCACACTTGCCGGCAGCACAGCTGGCGGTCCACAGGCTGCAAGCTGGAGCAGTAGGGGTCGTGACCTCAGCGGTCCTCGCAGTCCTGCTTCGCGGCTGCTATCTTATGCGAAAGCATGCAACATCACTCTTTCAACACTGGCATCCTAGTTCTTGTACGGTTTCGTGAACGGTCATGCCCTTCCTTGCACGCCCGTTGACAAATGCCACCCAAGCGATTTCCTTTTCTAGCTAGAACTGTCTTGCCAACGGCAGCGAGAGAATGAAAAGTGAGTCTTGCAGCACGCTCGCCTGCATACGCAGCGCCATAGGCGGCAGCAGCCGTCAGGATCAAGCCTTTCGCTTCCAGAGCGACTTTCTAAGGCCGGTTGCCTTTCGAGTCCTAACCGAAATGCATAAAGAACTCTCCAGCGGCACGCCTTCAGTAAGGCCCACGCTCATTGGGGGATCTAAAGCGTCCTCCACCTGCATCCAAATGGCAGGAATACCTAAGCTTCTGTGTGGGCCCGCGACTTCTGCTAGACGTACTGAACATAGGGAGTGGACCTGCTTCTGCTGAAGCTCATCCATTTTCTGCCTCGCTTCAGGCGCCTTCCAAGCCAACGACAAAGCTGCGGATCTGATCAGATTCGATGTCAAAAAATCACGAAGCACGGGACTCTAGAAGGCCGGAAAGCTCCGTGTGCTCGACATGGCAAGATGCAGCTTTCTGCACTGATCCAGGGCTGGTTCGCTCAGAGCCAGACCCTCAAGGTGCGCATACAGCGAAGGATTGCCTCAACAGCACGTTCTGGGATCCCAGCCAGAACTGTATCAGCAGTCTTCTGCATTGGCATGCCATGTGTCTCATCTTGTACAATGTCATCTGCTTGCTCAAAGTTCAGGCATGCTTAGTCAGTGAATGTTCAAGCATGTTGATTGAAATCTACATGAGAATCCAGGGTGTCTTGCCTCCACCTACACTGCGGCGTCAACTCTTGAGTACTATGACTATGACTATGACAATCCGAACCTAAACTTGACGAGACTGAAATGTCCGAGCTTCAGGCGAACCGCTGGTTCCAAGCATGCGTCCCATCGACAAACACCTGGAACACACCGAGAACAGCGACAACAGCCGTGCGATGCCTTGCAGCCGGCTTTCGCAGTGCGAGGCTCACTCTCCGGTAAAAAGCATTGGACAAAAGAAGCGACTTCCTCATCCTTGAGCCCCCAACCCAACAAAAGCAGCAACTGAACCCAACACCAACCTAAAAGCACAATAACATTTGAGCAAATCAAAATCAGACCTCCATACTCGTCGGGGTTCGAATGACGGCTTCTGATTAATTGATCCTCCAGTGTCTGAACGTCTGCATGACTGCAACTGTTCCGAATATGTTGTCCGATGGCCGCATCTTGTGACTTGCCAGACATTCAGAGCCAGGCAGCAGATACGCATGTCGCTATGCTGCAAAGCAATGTGAACTAAATCTAATTCTCCAATCCGAATGATCAATTGCACATGCAGAAATCCTGCAACCTGCGCAGCAGTCGCTTCGACATGAATGCATAAAACGGCGAATGGTAAAACTTGATTGAAGCATGCAATTCCGCAATGCCACAACTGTTCGCAGTCCACCACAGCTTCAGGCGGAACATCTACTTTTTTGTCCTCGCGCAAGCGCAGGCAACAACCGGAGACGCGCCACTGCCAAACACCTGTTGTAACGTCAAAACGCAAGTTAGAAACACCTTCGACTGCAAATTGTACGTCTCAAGAATCGCAACATCGATCTTGCGAACCATTTTCGACACTGGTTGCAGCTTCTGGCTGGCTTTTTTGTTCTGGCCTGGAATTTTGTCGAACCAAACCCTCCTCAAACCGCAGGGCCTGCGCAACAAAATTTCAGCGGGTGATCAACTGCAGCCCGAAGAACGCAGCTTTGCTTGTTGATGGAAGCCGATAGTCTTTGCTGTAAAATACGGGAGGCACCTGTCATGGAGCTTATCGAGGCATGCGTCAGTTGCTTATCAAAGCACAGCTTTGTTTGTTTTGCCGATCTCATACATCAGAGGCAGCAGATGACACGCCAAAGTGGTCATGACACGAAGTACCACACACCACACAAACCCACTCTTTGCCAAGATTACAAATGTCATGCGAGGGGTGGATCACAGCACCAGGAATGACAACAGGCTTACCTATGCACCCCTAGTTGAGCTTGAGTTCAAAGAGTCCACTGGGGTCAGTTTGCTGCACGTAAAGCCCACACCTGCTACACTTGACAGTCAGGCTGGCTGACGCACTGCATTGCTGCCACTCATGCCTTGCGGCGGCACCAACTATCGCAGTTCCTATGCAAAGCGTGATGTCCTAGATGTGTTTGTTCCCGTGGAAGCACACGCTCACGCACGATGCGGCTCAGAAGATGCAGTCCTCTGGCCCCCGGCAAGTGCCGCCCCATTAAGGAGTGGAGATGGTTTATTCGAGCAATGACATGGACCGGACTTTGTGGAAAGCTCGAAGGCGTGGCGTCACTTCTTCCTTCCCTCGCTCTGCATGACGAAGCTTTCTCCCTTCTCCAGAAGCACCTTTTCGCAAAGCGCAGACACAGACACTGAGCAGACAAGTGCTTCTGGCATTTCCAAGCCCAAGGTGTCCCGCCAGCGACGTGCAGTAAGACATCTGGCAACAGCAGCATTCGCGGAAGTGTATGACCACTGAAATGGGACGGCTGGATGGGAAAGATGGGAAAGAGCCAAAGCGATCCAAAGATCGATTCTGCCAACACCTCCTATCGTGCAACCTTTCCCTATGTTTGCAACGGCATTGGGATCTTGACTGCAGCCACAAAGGCAAGAGCACCGGTGTGAGCAACGTCACGGACGTGAGCCAAGTGAGTTGCCTGCAAGTCGGCAAGCTCGGTACACTGCGACTCATCGCGATTGCCGTAAGACACGAAAGCCAAAGGTAAAGGGGCTCGTGGTCGTCGACACCTGCTCGGTAGAGCAGGTAACCGGTTTTGGGCAACGGTCTGCGATCGGCTCCTCCGCAGGCAGATCTGCTCCTATAGCCGCAGCATGCCGCAGCCGCATGCGAGCAGCGCGATAGCGCCTGTGTACACTTTGCCTTTTCGGTGCAGGCAAAGAGAGTGCATGCATGTGATGCATGTGCGATGAAGCCCTGGATAGAAACACCTGCTCTGAAAGGTGCCAGAGGGCCCGCCCCGATACATGGAGTCGGGGCGGGTCCTGCAAACCCATCGCCTGGAAGACGCGGACCACTTCAGTCTGCTGCCGGAGTAGCTGAGGACCCAGCAAAAGCAAGCGAAGCAAACCATCATAGTGAGAGAGAAGGCATGACGGAGGGAGACGGAGAGAAGAGCCAACGATGAAGCCGGCTCCGCCGTTCAATGTAGCTTTGAGGGCCTTCTTACCGACAGATCTCTCGTGACCTGGGTCATGCCGAGAGCTTGATGTGACAGAACTGCGTGTTCACTCTCGATACATAATGAAATGGTGAGCATCATCCCAAACCCTTGCACCCCAAGTGAGCATCATGCATCAGCCGATGTTATGTTCGGCAGTCTATGGCATGTTCACTGCACATGTGTCCTCCAGTCCCGGCAGTTCGGAGG